TGATTATGGTGTTATTATATGTTTATATGTCGACGACTTGCTAATTTTTTGTACAAACATCAAAGGTGTATCTGAAACTAAAGAGTATCTAAATTCAAAATTCAAGATGAAGGATTTGAATAAAGTAGATACTATATTGGGAATTAAAGTAAAGAAGCATAGTAGGGGCTACGCTTTGTGTTAGTCACATTATATAGAAAAATTGCTTCTTAAGTTTAAGCATCTACAAATAAAAGAAACAACTACCCCTTATGACCCTAGTGAAACTTTGCTTAATAATTATGGTAGGTCCGTTGTACAGCTTGAGTATGGTAGTGTAATTGGAAGTTTAATGCATGTCATGCATTGTACCAGGCCAGATATCGCATTTGCAGTAAGCAAACTTTCTAGATACACTAGTCATCCGTGTACTGCTCATTGGAAAGCAATAAATAAAATTTTTGGTTATCTTAAAAGAACTATTAATCTGAGTTTAACTTACTATGAGTTTCCAGCAGTACTTGAAGGATATTCAGATGCAAGTTGGATAACAAGTGCTAATGATAATAAGTCTACATCAAGGTGGATTTTTACAATTGCCGGAGGAGCAATTTCTTGGGCTTCGAAGAAGCAAACATGTATAGCACATTCAACTATGAAATCTGAATTTATAGCATTAGCGGCAACAGGTAAAGAAGAGGAATAGATTAGAAATTTGTTATTGGAAATAGAGTTGTGGCCACAACCAATGCCATCCATTTCTTTATACTGTGATAGTGAGATTACTTTGTCTAGAGCATACAATGGAAAGTCTAGACATATTAGCTTGAGACATGAATATGTCAAGCAATTAATAACTGATAGAGTTATTAATATTATTTATGTTAAATCAAGTAATAACTTGGTGAATCCATTAACGAAAGCACTTTCAATAGCTTTGGTAGTTAGTACATCTAGTGGAATGGAGCTAAAACCCTTTACTAAAAATTAGCCACCAATAATGGTAACCCAACTTTCTCTAGAACATCACTAGTTTAAAAGTTTAATGGGTAATAACAAGTTATTGTTAAGTGGTTGTGAAAGCACTGAAAATTAATATATAGCTCATTCCAGAATGATCAGTGCAAGACTACTACGTTTAGAAGGATGAGTTTTAACTCTTAATGAGATTATTTGTAGTTATATCTATAGTAGCAGGGACATGGGAAGGAACCTCACCTATATGAACATAAGAAGTGGTGCCGCTTCTACCAAGAGTTTGATTTTCTCTTGTAAATGCTTATGAAACCAGGATGAGGCACAAGGCCATAATAGTGCTTAATTAGTTCAGAAATTTCTTTAAGTAAATAAGACATAATCATGTGTGTAGTGATTCCGGTTTTAACATAAGAATATGTGGTTTAAACTTAGGTCACCATCGCATTCATTATAACTTTGAATCACTTACACTAATTCAAGGTTTAATTCGAAAGACACCTTTATTGTATGCATGATTATATCGGTATGCTTGTGATAATTATAAAGTGAGAGTTGTAATATCATTTTCTATATATATTTTTTTAAATAGGGAAGGATTGTTGAATATTTAAATATATATATATATATATATATATATATAATAATATATTATATATATACTAATATATAATAATATATTATATATATAATAATATTATATATATATATATATGAGGATGTTTGACGGGAAGTTGGGTCATTGACCCAACAATTATATCTTTTCGAAAAGCATTGCAGCTTTTTGCTAATAGAGATACCCAATGGTTGCTGAATGTTTTACAACATATGTGATCTTTGAGTAATTGGTGTTTTGTATCATATATGTTCATTGGACATACTGTTGTAATGTGTTGTATCCCATGGTGAAAAGACATACTCAAATCAAAGGATGTGTCTAATGGGTGCAATTCTCTATATATATATGGGTAACATTAGTACAAGAGAATTCATTAATTTCATAAATTTGTTATCTACACAATTTCTTTGCTCTCTTGTCTCTCCAACACATTTATACAATTTCTTTCTAGTTATTTCTAAGGGAATATAATTCGATTTTGCTAATCGAATATTCCATACTTTGTTGTATCCTGGAAGTGACTTGCCAAGAACCCTTTAGCAAACTCATTCGAGTGGGGGCAAATAACACTTTAAGGAAACGATTCAAGTCGTACCTCAAAGTTATTATTTAGATTATTCTCTATTTTTCTACATTAACTCTAACAAGGACTCCCTTTTTGTTTGTTGCCAATTTGTTGAATGGACTTTTGGTCATCCTCAATTTTTATTGGGCTGTATGATGTAATGTGTTTTGGGTGTATACCCTCATTCAACGAAATTTACGCTATATTCGAACAAAAGAGAAAGAATTGGTTGTTAGCAGTATCAACGTCGCGACTCTCTGATAAAAAATTGATCTCTGCATGCCCACTTGCACGGTTGCACCGTGAAAGTTGTTTTTACCATGTTGCAGTTACCATCCGTTATTTTTCTTGGCTTGCAATTATGAATTTGATTTATTCTTACTTGAGAATTTATACATACTACGTACTAGGGCATGGTAATGCATCGGAATTTTAGACCATTGGATTCTTTATTACCCGGTGTATATGACATAAATTAGCATGGTAGAATTTTTAGAATTCAAACTCGAATATAAAAAAAGAAACACATTGTCTCAAATAACTTTGTTGATGCACAAAACCGGATGGGTCATGGAACAACGTAAAACCGACCGTGAATCTGCAAGAAAGTAAATAACACAAGATGTATCATGGTTCATCCCAATGTTTAGGCTACGTCCACACTGATATTGTATTTCTCTGAGATGTTGAAGAGGGAGAGAGAGAGAGCTTCTCTGTGAAGAGAGAGATCTGAGAGGGTGAGGGTCAGGCCTAAGAATCGGCATCTCCTAATGAGGAGAGTGAGGGGTCTTTTTATAGAACAAGGGCTCCTCATTTATTACATATTTGCCCCTCCATTTATTACATAATTACACTTGAGTCCCTCGAGTATTTATACGAGGTCTAAATACGAAGACCCTAAGTATGGTATAAACAGTAGTCCCCCAAGTCTTCAGTTAAGAGAGTCTTTTGGCTGGAGACTTGAAATTCAATCCATGTGTGGGCCGAAGTAACTAGATGTCGTCTAGAATTGATACTTGATATGAGGTGGTGCCCAATCTGAAATGATGCTCAACTAGAAGTAGCACATGTTGCGAGGCTGCTCAGCTTGTGGCTTATGTTGCCTTGGTTGGCTCGGCTTATGGTGTTTGAAGGTGAGGGAGTCCCTTTTATAGAATAAGGGCTCGCTCCTCAATACATAAATATCGGCTAGAGTTGATGCTCGCGGCGAGGCGATTGCTCAGTAGGCGGCGATGCTCTCTAAGGATGGTGATGGAGTCCCTTTTATAGAATAAGGGCTCGCTCCTCAATACATGAATAATGGGTTAGAGTTGATGCTCTCTAATGATGTTGAGGGAGTCCCCTTTATAGAATAAGGGTTCGCTCCTCAATACATGAATAATGGGCTAGAGTTGATGCTCTCTAATGATGGTGAGGGAGTCATTTTTATAAAATAAGGGTTCGCTCCTCGATACATAAATAATGGGCTAGAGTCCCCCAAGTATTTTTCATGAGGCCCAGTTGAGGCCCAATATATGGTACATAATGTAGTCCCCCAAGTCTTCGGTCAATATAGTTTGTTGGCTGGAGACTTCAAATTGAATCCATGCATGGGCCGAAGTGGCAGTTGTTCAGAGGCGGTATTTGTATACCCTGCACTGAAGCTTTGTAGGTGAAGTTTTGAAGCTAGAGCTCTGTAAATGAAGCTTTTGAAGCTAGATTGACATGAGTGATGCTCATGAATGTTTATGTTGATTGACATGAGTGATGCTCATAGATGTTGACATGAGTGATGTTCATGAATGTTGACATGAATGATGGTCATGAATGTTTATGTATGATTGACATGAGTGATGCTCATGTATAATTTTGGAGTACTAGGCGTACTTTTGATCACCTAGTGGGTGATAATAGCAACAGGTTGCCGAATAATTTTGGAGTACTGGGCGTATTTTTGCCAAATAATTTTGGAGTACCGGGCGTACTTTTGATCACCTGGTTAGTGATAATAGCGGCAGGCTGCCGAATAATTTTTTGTAGTACTGAACGTACTTTTAATCACCTGGTTGATGATAATAGAGGGTCTGGCTTTTTTGGGCATATGGGTCTTTGCCCTCCACACAACATTCCAGCCCATTATTTTTGGCTTGTCGTTTTTTTTTACCCTCTGATGGAGTTTTTACAGATGTCTCTGAAAAATAAGAAAAATAAATTTCATTATTAAAAAATAAATAAAGCAGTCGTTGGTGCGTACTGGGTTGTTGCAGGTCTTTTTCCATGTGTGTCTTCCAGTGGCTTCTTCAGAAAAGTGAGAACATACATAATGAAAGTTTTCTTTTTCAAAAGTTGATGGCATATTCTGCTTTGGTGGTCGACAAAAGCAAAATATAATCCTGGCTTTTCCTTTCTGTATTCCTTTTCTTCCCTTTTTCTTTTTCTGCTGTCTGAACATCAACTGGTGTACTCCAGCTGTAAAACTCCATCAGAGTACTTTTCTTTCTGCTTTTCTGCTTTTGCTTTCGGCCTGTTCAACCAAAAGCAAAAGAATCCCCAATTGCGCCCTTGCTTCACTTGCTTGTCTAGCAGCTTGTTCATCTCGTTCCCCCCACTCAATCCTCACCCAGCCCCAAAACCCGTTTGAAGAAACGGGCACCCCGGAACCAGAAAGCCGCAGACTGACCTTCTCGCTGATCCTTTTGCCTTCGAACCGCCCATCTCCGGCCACGATGGTGTCAAGCCATAGGCACTCTGGCTGTCCTTTTGGCGAGAGTTGCCACTTCCTGCACTACGTTCATGGATGTTACAATGTCGTGGCTTAGATGATGAATCTTGCGCCTACCCCTCCGCCACCTAGGAATATTCTTGGCCCACCATCCAATTCCAATGGGTCCAATTCATCTGGAGTTAAATCGCATATGCAATAAATATAATTCTGCTGAAGGCTACAAATTTGGTGACAAATGTCATTTTGCTCATGGTGAGTGGGAACTTGGCAAGCCTCTTGCTCAGACCCACGATGATCCTCGTGCCATGGGACCTGGTCCAGGCCGTATGGGTAATTGGATGAAGCCACACGCAGCACGCCCTACATCTAGCTTTGGTGCCTCATCTACTGCAAAAATCAGCGTGGACGTAGCGGATCATGGAGGAGAACTTGGTGCAGGAGCAGGCGAGCCTAGCCCAGTCCCGCGGGTCCTCCTCAAGCTTGAAGAGGATGTTCAGAACGACGTCGTCGGAGAGCTTCGAGAACAGGGTTCTGGCCATCGGATTTCAAATTTATCCGAGAAATGAGGGGACAAGGGTCGGAACTTGACGTTGGATTTGGGTATTTCGGGGATTTTGAGAGATGGGTTAACGGAATTTCTGTTTGTTTTTGGTGAACTGATTTGGGGAGAGTGTGAGTGTTTGGTTAAAAGGAATGGCGCGAGAAAGGGAGAGTTGGGGGAGGTTGGTTCGGTTTTGGGTTTTGCAAATCCACGGCAGAGGTGAAAAAATAAAAGAGAACCGACATAGCTTTTCGTGTCGTTTCCCACAGACGGTGCCAAATGTTGATGCACAAAACCGGAGGGGTCTTGGAACAACGTAAATCCGACCGTGAATCTACAAGAAAGTAAATAACACAAGATGTATCGTGGTTCACCCCAATGTTTGGGCTACGTCCACACTGATATTGTATTTCTCTGAGATGTTGAAGAGGGAGAGAGAGAGCTTCTTTGTGAAGAGATAGCTCTGAGAGGGTGAGGGTCAGGCCTAAGAATTGGCCTCTCCTCATGAGGAGATTGAGGGGTCCTTTTATAGAATAAGGGATCCTCACTTATTACATATTTACCCCTCCATTTATTACATAATTACACTTGAGCCCCCAAATATTTATACGAGGTCTAAATACGAAGGTCCTAAGTCCAATTATGCGTTTATCAATCTCTATATTTCAGCAACACAAGTTTGTGTTCTTTCTAAAACTGCCAACTTCCATATTGTTTTGGCGGAGGAGAAATTTTTATTTTGTATTTATTTAACACCTAGTACCTTAGCTGTCATATATATTATAGGGAGAAAATTATGTGCATTCGCTATAAACAAAAGTGCACCACATGGGGAGTAGTGTGCTGGCATGGCCCTATCATTGACATGAGTTATTAACCCTTCTCCATATTTCCTAGTTGTTGTATGACCTTAAATGCCACATTCCCTGATTTGAAATCTTATCTCTATCTCTATCTCCACTTAGTGCACATCATGAATTATCACGAGGTAGCTCAGTAATTGGGGCAAAGTTTAAACCACTAATTTACTCGACTCATCCTAAGTTTGATTCTTGACGCTGATGAATTATATAATGACGGTCAAGAAAAAGCTGAAATACTTCTTTGAGTCTTCACAATACTCAAAAGAGTGAATTGCACTATGATTTCGCCACTAGCAGGTCCCTTTTTGCAAAAAAAAAACAAACACTTAGTGCACATAATGGACCCTCTTGTCCAAATGCATATGTATCCACATTAAAATATGCTTTTATTCCAAAAACTATGTCCTAAAAGCACATGGTTCCATTCCCCCACATGGCATCCCCAGTCAGCCCCCAGTTAGTTGTATTTGCTCATAATTTAATTTAGTTCTTAAAAAATATATATATATATATTTTGCAGCTTAATTTAAAGGCCATATTATGGGTGTCTTTTACTGGTTGAAATCTGAGAGGAACTCCTTTTGTGTGGAGCCATGGAGCCAACTGGTGATGACCCAAATGAGCAATCTGCAAGTAAGAAAGAAGACAATGTGGAAGAAGCCAATGATCTCTTGGAAGAGTGTTGGTTTTTTGATAACTTGCTCAACAGGAAACAGAAGATGCTAAGGTGTTTTTCTGATCCTCACAGCAACTCATCAGGTTTTGGTCAAGGAATGTCAGTGAAGGCGAATAAGGCCACAGAAGGCAATGGATTTGCCGGTCCAAATTTGGTTCGGACGCCGTCGTTGCCTCTTCATATAGGGAGGCAGGAGACTGTTCAAGTGAAGCAAAGTGGTGGTAAGAGTAGTGTGAGCAAATTGACAAGGGAAACGTCGCATCAGAAAATGCTACAGACACCAACCCAACCGTCGGTTTGTATTGGGAGGAGGACAGAAGGAGTTCAGGATAGAGAAAGTGATATCAGAAGAAGTAGAGTAAATGGGCAACCGGTGCGCCACAATTTGCTCAGGACACCCTCCCTGCCACCATGTCGAGTAAAAGAAAAGAGAAACCAAGAAAGTGTTCCACAAAAACACAAGGTACTAGCTAGCATTATCATCATCATGTTTTTAGTTTAGAAATATACGTTAATTAAAATTATGAATTAATAGTTTCAAAAAAGTCACCATGCACTCCTTAAGCACGCTTGCTTATGCATTAAATTGATATTAAGGGGTGCAGATGACTTTTGTGGAGTGACATTAACGACTCAATATTTAACGACGGTTTAATTAACTTATTGTTATCTTACAATGTTGTTACGCTTGATTATTGCAGGGGCTCACGACACAATGTTCTGCCGTTCCAAGATTTAAACCCCCCAAAAACACAGTAGGGGAAAGCAACATGAGTAGTACAGATGGGATTAAGGAAATGAGACTCCGGTGCCCTAATCAACTGACGACGAGAAAGAGCCTAAGTGATCTTGAAATTGAAGAACTGCAAGGGTTCAAGGACTTGGGGTTCACATTTGACACGAAAGAGTTGAGCCCTAATGTGGTGAACATACTTCCCGGTCTGCAGGAAAAGAAGAGGAGTGAAGATTTGAACTCGATACATGTTAGGAGGCCTTATCTTTCCGAGGTGTGGTTGGCGCAAAGCTGCGCAGCCCCGCCACCTCCAAATTTGGGTGCAACTATGTCTACTGAAGATATAAAGGAACAAATCAAGTTCTGGGCTAGATCTGTGGCTTCTAATGTGCGCTAGGGATTTTTTTTCTTCTGAATTTTAACTTGATTTACATGCTAATCGATTATGTAGTCCGATTCATTTAAAAAAGTAACATCCAATAATCTACCCAAACCAATTAATCCAACCCAATTTGGTCAATTTCAACAACTCGATCAAATTGGATCATTGGATTAAAAAAAAAAATCATGTGTGAGACAGAGAGGAAGATGGAGTTGCTATTGTATAATCTCAATGATCCACCCTCACGCGACACTTTCAATTGTATTATTTCACTTAACATACACTTATCGTTTTCATTTTGTGAAATAGTGTTTCAAAAACCAGTCCTGTAAAATGTTACCAAATGAGCATAAATGTTTCTAATTTACGTTCATGGGCATTTCTGTTTTCATAGAAAACAATTAGATGATCAAAATGTCTAATTTGGCTAATTCACGCATAATTTTCAGCTTTTCACACTCATCTCTTTATTTATCATCATCAAATTAAATAAATAAAATTAAAACAACTAGACATATAATACAAATACATATATATGGTTAGGATCCAGGGCCACTCTTTTAACACACATTTTTTATACACCTTTTTATATGGCTCACTCCGTAATATATTTATGCGATCAAATTTTTTAGTTTTATGTCTTACTTCAAAGACCATGTCTACTAAAATTTATCCAAAACCCAAACCATATGTCTATTGGATTGAATTTAGAGTTTCTTTGAAGAACCGTATTTTTTTTTTTTCAATACAAATGAATGTCTTAGTGGTTTTGGATTTGTCTAATTTTTTTGCAAAGATAACTAATGAATAATGTACTCTAAAATATAAGAGGTTCGAAATGTTGAAATTCATTACAACGTGAGCCCTACAATATATATTACAATGTTCACATGAAATATGGTTCAAAATCTGGAGGGGATAACAGATATTTTCATAAGCCCACCAAAATCCAAAATATGCAAAAGAAGATGTCATCTTTGGTTGATGAGAAACAAAAAAAACCAAAAAACACAGCCGCAACTGAACTCCTCAGTAGCTCAGCTCTCTCTCCCTCCCTAAAATCCCTCAAATGTTGCAGACCCAACACCTTCTCCTTTCCAATTTCCCCATCTTTCTCTCTCATCCCCAAACCAACTTTCTCTCACCTCCCAATCTCTCACCTTTTCCTCTCACTTTTCTCCACAAACCCACCAGTCTCTGCCCTGTCTCAGCCCATTCCAGAGCCGGACCCGAACAATGGCTAGCCGAAGCTCCAGAACCCACCACCGCGACCCCATACACTCCCTTAGAATTTGCTCCAGACGGTCCCGAAGAATTGCCACCGTCTTCTTCTCCAGTGTTTGCCACCAATGATGACCCTTCATCTCTCCAAGTGGCCACCAGTGTTCTTCTCACAGGTGCCATCACTGTCTTCCTCTTTCGCTCGCTGCGACGCCGTGCCAAGCGTGCTAAAGAACTGGTAAAGACTGTAGCTTTCGCTTCATTACTGTGTACAAATTACTGTTTTTTGTGTGTACTTATTGCTAAAGTTTCGAATTTTGGGAATTGGGTTTTGGTGGGAATTGCCTTTTACTTTCAATTACAAGTTTTTTGAAGTTTTGGGGAATGCTTTTAAATTTTATTACAAACAAATCACTACTCTAAGCTACACAAATTGGAGGGAGGGTTTGAATCCAGAACGTTGCAGGTTGAAGAGGAAGCCATATCTACCCGAGCGATCCACCACTTGCCAGGAATGATTTTCATTGATTATATGTGCTTTAATTTTAATGTGTTAATTTTGGATTTTGAGAGATTGTGATACAATTTGCCATTCACTTTAAATACAATTTTTATGTGTTAGTGTGAGCCAATTTGTGGGCTTTGATGGAGTGATTTTGGTACCTAGAAATATAGGTCATCTGGAGTGAAGAAGTCATTGAAGGATGAGGCTTTGGATAGCTTGAAAGCACTGTCTACAGGTTCTGTTGAAGCAAAGGGTCCACCGTCACCTGTTCAGGCGTTGTTGGGTGGAATATCAGCCGGCGTCATTGCACTTATTCTTTATAAGTTCACTACTACAATTGAAGCATCTCTCAACCGCCAAACTATTTCTGATAATTTTTCGGTTTGTCCCTTCATTGCTCGTGTCCTTGATTTTTCTGTTCTGGACATATTTTTGTTTAACTAACACAATGGTTCTTATGAGGTTACGCTACTATCACATTTTCTCTCAATTCCATAGGAAAGAATAATGATCCAGATAAAATCTATTGCACTTTTACTGCGTCTGAATTCGTGTTGCTTCATTTCTTGTGTACTGAATTGTAGGGTTAAAAATGTTAAGTTTTATATAGTTCGAACTATTACTTGTGATACCTTACACGACTTGAGGCACAAAATGCTCACTCTTTTTTCTTCTTTTTTTGTCCAATTGAATGTGATGGTAGAAATATTGCACTCCAAGACCGCTTTTCATTTGTATTCTTGTTGGTGTGTGAACTTGGCTAATTTTCATTGAATCCATCCTGGCCTTTGAACATTGTACTTGTGTTTCTACTTTTCAGGTTCGTCAGATTACAATAACCATAAGGTAGCTCCTACTACTAATTCCTTCTGGTTTTCCTTGCTTTTAATCGATCAGAAAATGATCACCTTTTTTTTCTTCTGTTGGCAGGACCATTATAAATGGGTTATGCTACCTTGCAACATTTGTGTTCGGCATCAATGCTGTGGGTTTAGTCCTTTATGCTGGTCAGCTCGCCATCAACTCTATCATGGAAGATATAAATGAAGACACTCAGACTCAAGGTGAGGAGCAGTCAGGCTCACTGAATTCAACGGTTGAAAGCCCCACAAATAGTGGTGAGAACAGCAATAAGGATGATCAAGATTCAGATGGAACACAATAGAGTAGAACCAACATTGACGCAGAAGCAGGTTTTGTCATTTCAACTTATTTCTAGGTAAATATAGTGTTTGAAAGAAATCTGTGCCATTTCTGGCCGTGTTATTTTTCGTGATCAATCTCTCTGCACTCAAGATCCTATTCAATATTAATATATGGTTGTCAAAGATGAAGCGGTTCTTAGCAGCTGCCATGAATGTTTGTGTATCTTTGCTCATTGATTTTTACAGAAAGAAGTAAACGAGAGTGCACAAATCAGTTTTCTATGCTCAAAAGTGTAAAAATGATTGAAATTACGAAAATCACCAAATCACATCATGTCAAAGTTTGCTATGAAAATTTTAAGATTGGAATTAGAATACAAAACATGTGATTCTCTCTCTCTCTCTCTCTCTCTCTCTCTCTCTCTCTCTCTCTCTCTCTCTCTCTCTCAATTGTTACTCCAAAATCTTCTGCTAGAGTTTAACTTGTTGCCTCTGAATCTAATCTCGTACTTGGTTCTGGTGGTTCTTGAGTTGTGCTTCCATGCATGTGTGATCTTTCTTCATGTTGCTCATTAGCCCTTTCGATTCTGTGTTTTTCTTCGTCAAATTTTCTGATCATATTATCACGTCTCCCAACTGGTCGGAACTGATGCAAAGGAGTGGAATTTGAATCAAGCCTGTGCAAAACCAACACCATGGTCACTGAGCAAACAAACATTGGAATCGGACCAAAAATCCAAAGCAGCACAGTAGTGGCAAAGTAGATAGCTCTTAGCCCCAATGTCCAGAACAAGCCTCCACTTATCACCGCCTTCTCGACATGCTCCTGAGGAATATCACTGTCTGGCATACTGATGAGGAAATTGGCATGAACAAAGTCTCTTATACAATGTAAAAAAGAAGCTAAGGCCAGCAGGAAGCAGGCCAGAATGCTAATATATTTGACGGAAACTAGCATAGGACTTGTGTCGCCGTATGTAATACTGCTCGTGAAGACATTGTGCGAAGAGTTTCCAATCCATGCTCCGATGAGAGAGCTTAAGGCTAGAGAGGTTGAGGCTAAGAAATTTGCTGCTGTTGTGGTGCTAGAGATTACTGCTAGGGACATACCTCTGTCCTTTGCATCAACCTGCAATTAATTAAAGACCAAATAGAGTTATATACTGTGTTTTCTCTTGCCGGACTTGTCTGACAAACGTTGATATTGTCAGACTGTGAATCTGCATCCCGCATTCTAAGCAAAGAGAAAGATAAAAAGTGGAATCTTATATACTGACCTGCAACATTCTCTCAACCCAAGCTTTTCTGCAGTGGTTTTCATTGCCAATGACTGTAGTTTCAGGATGTCTTAGGTATCTATACAGAAGAAAAAGATGGTAGCAAAGCATGATTAGCAACCCAGTTGGGACCAAGATTAAATCTAAGTATTCCTTCTTCCAAACCATTCTCTCTCTCTGTCTCTCTCTCTGTCTCTCTCTCAACTAATATGAACAGATTAATTGTTGGGTTTGGTTGGCTTTTTAATAAAAGTATATATATTATTCTGGCTAAACGTTAAACTCCACAAGTATAGTGGATTTGGTTAAGTAGATAAAATTGGCTTTACTTTTGAAGAAAGAAGTTGACCGACTTCTCAATTAAAAATTAATTAATCGTGTATATGATCCATATCGTGACTAATAAGAACTTAGAAATACCATGCATGCAGCTGTTCTTTTACTTCACGGGGAAATGGAAGTCGTACGAGAACATGCTTTAAGCTCATTGCATGGCGGTGATATTGTCGAACTCATCACGTAAATATTGTTCTCATATTTGAGTGGGCGATGTTACTCACATTTCGCTCTCCCTTCTCGACTCTTCTTTCTTTTATTTTGGAATGTTGCAAATGATTAAAATTGTTTAGATCACTAGATTAACTCTATAAAAAATCAATCAAATCAACAATTGTTTAATCATTTGATAAAATAATTAGTCTATTTATTGAATAACTATTTCATGAATACAAGATTTCGAATTTGGTTTAATTTTAGAACATGAAATCTTTAAAGAGTGACCAAGAAAACAGACAATTTTGATCATCTTGCAACATTGTAAGATGAGAAGAAAAAAAAGTCAAGAAAGTAGAACAAGTAAATAAGAAGGTTGCTAGCATTTCCCATCTAAGTGAATCAAACCAAAGACTTTCTCGAACAAAACATTGACAACTACTACTAGACCTTAGAGCAAGTCCACCGGAGTAAACTTTACCCAGCACCCAGTCCAAATATCAAACTGAGGGTCAGGGAATTCATTCCAGCTTGTCGAGTTGCCTAGCAACCAGCCCAAGCCAGACAACAGACCAGCCCATTTTTGACAGACCCAAGAGCCGACCTATTTGGCTAGCGCGTGGACTGGACTAGCGCTTGGCAGCAAGTAGGGGACAAGGGGGCAGGCGTTGTCAGCCCACTTGTGTTGTAGCGACGTGGCTTGCTCAGAGCCGTTGGATTTCCAATGGCTAGTTTTTCTAGATTGTTGGATTTCCAATGGTAACAAAAATTTAAATTTTACTTTTAAACTGGACTGTCCGATCACTGATCAACGGTCCACATTTTTTACCCCAAAATGAATAAATAAAAAAAAGGGCCCAACGGTTAGATTTATGACTGTTGGCCACATGGCAGATCCTTGGCTCTTGGATTTGAATATTTTTCAAATCCAACGGTCCAGATTAATTAACTACATTAAAATTATAAAAAAATACAAATTAATTTTTTTAAAAATATAGTAAAATTTTAAAAAAGTTATTTTTTTCTTCTATAAATACCTAACCCTCATCTTCCACATTACACCACATTTCAATATTTTCTACACTTTCTATACTATCTACATTTCAATATTTTCTACACTTTAAGATACAAAATGTCTTCGTGGAAATCTATTCACAAAATAGAACGTTCGGATAATGACACGTGGCGTGACGAGATTGGTTAAAAATCCTATCTGAAAATAAACCTATTTTATTATTTTATTCTTTTAGAAAAAATTTAAAAATATTTTAAATGGGCTAGGTGCTAGCGCATTTTGTAGGGGTGGAGATCGTTTGTGCCAGCTCATTTTTTAACTGGTGGAGATCCTTTGGCTTATTACTGTTCATTGGAGTCTATTACTGTTTATTGAAGTGGATAAATGGGTTATGTGCTAGCACAAGGTCCTTAAGGGTGGACTTGCTCTTAGGGAATTTGACCTACCAAAATTTTTAAAACAGTGCATTTTTTTAGTAGGATTACATTTAGGCCGGAGGTACACAGGGCTCAAGGGAATTTCTGTATGGGTTTTTGTGAGCAAGTGTACTGATTAATTTGTATATCTTTCTACATTTGTGGAACAAATCAGTTTAGGGGTCGCCATGGAAGATTTTGTGAGAAACCGTATTGAACTTCGAAGGACCACCTTCACACGAAGGATATGGATTTGGTTTGACGGACTGCCGTGCATACAATATTGGGAGCTGTTAGTATTCGGAAAAAAAGTCATCATGCACGTTAAATTTATAAAAACAAAGAGAAATGCGTGAAAAAATAATGCAGAATGACATTTTTGAAGAATCAATAACAAGACCGTTATACATTCTCTCAAAATTAATTTCTTTTTGAATTCAAAGTTCAAGTGGAAGAATGATACAGTTTTCTATATTTGGGCTGATGATACAGTTTTCTTAATTAATATGGTAGGCTTAGGTGTTCTCTTTCAAGGCCGATTCTAAGATTTCAGATGTTCTATGTGCGAAATTTTAATTAAGAACCATTTAAAAAAAATTATTACGAATTGAAGTGTATATCGCCCGCACTCTCTCATGGTCGGCCATATTCCCTTCGAATTTAGATCCCCTTCTCTACATATAGGTTTACTTACTACTCTATTGTTGGGCTTGTCTATGTTGTGATATTTTACTTTTAACAAAGAAATTGTTATTAGCACACCAAAAATCTCATTTTACACTTCTCACAAATGTATTTTTCTTTCTAATTATAGAAAATTTGGAGTGCACAATAAAATTTTTGAAGTGCCAATAATAATTTCGTTTAACAAATCTAAACTGCGTGAATAGAGTTCAACTGCTCTGCGGGTGAATAGAAGAAGCGCATCTACACTAGCCAATATGGCTAAGTTGATATCTGCAAATAGCACAACATGTTTGTACACAAACATATTCAGTGTTAAACAAAGATACCCCGATATGTTGTGTGAAACAACATGATAAAACTTGAAAATTACCACTTGCTATGACTATGTCTATGTCTGCAAATCTCAAATGCTACTAACTCAACATGACAAAACTTGACCAATTAGCATATCGGGGTAGTTGTTTCACACTTAATTAGTGTAAGTCTCATGTTTGACTCACGTGGACGTTAAATTAAAATTATACATATTTGTGATGATTTCAAACATCTACCAGTATGAGATGGTCCAGTGGTTGGAGATAAATTATAGGCCCGTATTTCACATGGCATATTCTAGGTTCGATTCTTGACGTTGTTTTAAATCACACAATAATAGATAGGAAGAGTCTAAAATGTCACTGTGAGTCTTCTCGACTTCGAAAAAATGGGTAGTGTTCTATTATAACTCTATATATATCTTATCATTTGTCACAAAAGAAATGGAAAAACATGACAAGACTTGTTGTCCCTCATACGATTGAGCATCCACCGATAAGTTTACTACATGATTTGTGGATTTGCAAGTAGAAAGTGAGGCGATTTGTCCAATTCATGGGGAAATCGCAGACAGATAATAAGGCCAACCAAAACCTGCTTTGCTCTTCTTTACAGCTCTTCCCATCGTAGATCTTCCCTCCCCAACATTTCATGTTTTTGGTATTATTCGTTAATTATTATATTTTTATACGTTTGTTGTTGGTGTAACTATCTATAATGGCTGTCAACTTTTTTTATGCCACCACCTACAACCAATGTGAGTGAAAACAAAACAACTTTTCTTCTAGTGTAATAGTATTGAGTGTTACGCAATTGAAACGCTCGTGCCATTAAGTGCTATGTAGCATTGAAGTTAACTATGTACTTATACAAAATCTCACTTTACTCTTTAAACTTTGTTATGTCTCATTTTACTCTTTACAATTGAAGGAGACACAAATGATGAATACAAGAAATATGGTAACACAAGACAAGAGTGCGTGAGATAAAATAAAATTTTATAAAAAATATAACCAAAATTGTCTTATATACTAAATATTTTTGTTAGTAGATCTCAGTCATTGAATTATTTACCCAACATCTAACATTCAAAACCATACCATAAAAATATATCGAAATATACTTAATCATTGCATAACACAAATTACATTGCTATAAGCTAAAAATAAGCCTAAATAAAATTTCCAGAAAATTGCAAGGTGGAGCTGAATTCCCCTAGTATTGCTGTGCTTTGAAAAAAAACTGCTGTGAGAATAAGCGGCTGTGCTGTGAGAATAAGCGGCTGTGAAATAAATCTGTAGAGTGTTTGGTAAACTTTTTTGTAAAAGTGCTTTTGGAAAAAAAAGCAGTCTGATAGTGGGTCTTTTCATTAAAGGAGCACTGTAGTTCTGTGTGCTTTGAAAAAAAGCCAGTTTTCCAAAGCTACAAATTGCAGCTTCAGCTTTTTCCTTTGATTTCAGCTTATTCTCACAGCAGCTTCCAAAATAAGCCATTTTTTTTTAAGTTTACCAAACACCAAAAACACTCCCAGCTTTTTTTCATAGGAGCTTTTTTTAAAATCACCTCAACCCCAAACTGGGGCTAAGATTCTCTCATCTCCTCTCACATTTTCTATTTTGTCTTTCTCTTTCTATAAAAAATTAATACAAGATGTTAACGTGACTGTTCAAATAGGAGGGAAGGGAAGACGAGTAAAAAAAAAAAAGGAAGAAAATCCTACTCCAGTAGTTCTGAATTAACTTTGGCTGTAGATAAACCCGATTATTATAGTACACGTGTTTCACCACCGTTCACCATTTACATCATGTGTTTTTACTTTTAACATTCAATTCACCAAAAGCAGTAACAAATTTTACCAAAAAAAAAAAAAAAAAGAGACAGTAACAAAAATACAAACCCATCATTTTGTGACACAACAACCCAAGCAATTGGTATTGGTTGTAATTTGTAATTCTACAAGAAAATGAAAAACATTAGAAGAAAAAAAGCTTACGACCCGAAAAAAACTTACATGGAATGATTTGTAGTCATTATGAAGTCTCAATTTACTAATACAAAGTTATATGTAAAATTCTCTGCACATAACATATTATTGGTGACTCATTACACCACCGTAGTGATAAACACGTTCCACACATATGCACCCGATCTCCAGTATGACTCCCGTATGACCTTGATAAGCTAACTCATTCATTTCAAAATTAGCTTTCCGAAACAGATTGGTTTGGTTGTAACTTGTATGGATGGATCATTTACTGAGAAGCTCGTCCAATTAATTTAACAGAAAATGAGGATCGGAAATAAATAATAAAATTATAAGGGCAGCACAAAAATGAATTTATAGAAAATCATCCCTACATAAAAATGTACAAACGAAAATAGAGAGCAATAATTTAGCACTCTGCAAAACCCTAGTCACTCCCATCCCATACATATTCGTACAAACTTCCTACATATTTTTTTTTTTTTTCACAATCCAAATTAATTATCTCCGGCTCAAAACCCTACCCCAGCCGCGCCAACGCCCATCGCAGCCTGCCTCTGCTGCTCCAGCTTCCGATTCTTCCAAAAACACGTCTCCGGCGCCGCCGCTAGCTTAGCCGCCGACCTCATCGGCTCCGACTTGCAGCGCGTAAGTACAAACGGCTCGTAACCAGCGGACCCCACCAGCTTCTGTCCGATCATTGTCGCCATCGACACGGGACCTTCCTGAACCGGAAATGAACAAGACGACCGCGGTGGCTGCATCATTACCTGCTGCTGAACCACCGGCGCCAAAGGAGGCTTCGAGTCGATGCTCACCCGCTTCTTCGCCTCATTCGGAACGTCGATTTTCTTGACGTGTCGCTCCGGCAGGCACCGGATGAAGTCCGTGCTGCATACCCATGTCTCCTTGGACACCTCCATCGACAGCTTCGGCTCGCACATCATTAGCAGCAGGCAGTCCGGCAAGACGGAGTTTTGACCGACCTGCTTCGACCCAGTACCCAAATGCATGTTCGGGTTTTCGAGTTCTGGTTCCGGCTCGGGATCCGATTCGGGTCTATCTGCCATCACTGTCTCTGTTTCTTCTTCCGTCGACTCCTCTGCAACTTCAGCCTCCGTTTTCTCTTCTTCTCCTTCCAGTTCTTCTGACTGTACAGAAACAATGGAAGGTTCTGGAATCTTCGCCTCACTCACTTCCTCCTCTTTCTCTTCATCTTCTTCTTGTTCTTCAAGTTCCAAAATTTCCGGATCTACGACAACTTCTGTCGAACACAAATCTTCCGACACTGCTTGCTGTCCCGTCACATCCGATTTTCGTTCCTCGTCTTGTTCGAAGAACTCTTCTTCCACTTGGCATTCGATTTTCTCTTTAATGTCTCGCACTTCCTCAGAAATTTGCAGACATTTTTCCGAGACCTCATCCAAATCTTCTTTCCACTCCTCGTCTTCTTCGAAGCCCAAGCTTTCTACTAGTTCTTCCGAATCTCCATGCTCTTCGCCTTCGCGAACCCATTCCTCACACTCTCCATCCTCCCGCTCCGCCGACTCCGCCTCCGCCGCCGCTTCCACCTCCAACCCCGTTCCCATTTTCTCAACGACTTCTCCTCCAGCAACTTTCTCTGCTTTTACATTACTACCCTCATTGTCATCCTCTTGATCTTCTTCATTTTCCTCGGCAGCAGGCATCTCCCAGAATCTATTAGCAAGTGCAGCCATTTTAACCGGATCAGATCTGCACCTCATAAGCAAAAGCGCATTCTTCGGAGGAACACAAATACTCACTCTCCCTCCTTCCTCCTCCACCGCTCCACCACCCCCATTGAATCTCTCTTCCTTGAACTCAATCCCTTCAAACACCTGCCTCCGCTGGCTACGGCCGCCGCTGCTATCACTCCCCCTCTCCGTCCTCTCCTGGTCGTCCCCCACCACCAGCTCAATCTCCCTCCCTTTCCCGTCCCCATCTTGCAACGCCACAAACCACCTCGCAAAAACCGCACCGCAGGAAGACGACCCTCCACTCTCTGATCTCACCTCCTTGCTACTACTACTACTCTCTTCTTTCTCCTTGTCAGTCGCCAAACACGAAGACCGGTTCGGAAACAGGCAGTTAAACTCCGACCCGAAAGCCCTCAGGGCCTCGCAAATCGTCAGGGGAAGATGAACCCACCTCTGGTTTCTCTGCCTCATGCATTCCTGCTGATTATTACTATTGCTACTACTTCCATTGATCTGGTGATTCGGAAAGTGCAAGCTTTGGAAGTTGTTGTTGAAAAGCTCTTGACTTTGAGTAGCTGTATTGTTGTTGGAGCTCTCTGTTCTTCTGAAACTCGCTTCGGTTCCCCTGCGCCTGGATCTGGTAATTATCCTCATTCTCTTGCCCTGTTTCTTGGTCTTCACCCTCACCTGTCCAATGCACGTGACTTTAGGGGAGGAGGGTTCTGGGTTTTCGAAAGCGCACCCACGTTTTTTGTTTGTGCCCCCGTTCGGGAACATCGGGGAGGCTTGGCCGCCCTTCATGCTGCCGCTGGTTTTGAGGCGGCGGCTGAGGGAGGAGGATAGGGAGATTTGGGAGTTGGGGTCTGCTCCTCTGGCTCGGCCGGGGCTGAGGAGGGACTTGGAGGAGAGCTTCATGGAGGAGGAAGAGAGGCGGGATGTGGTGAAGCAGATGAAGAGCTCGCTGGTGGCCGTACTAGCGGTGCTGCTGCTGCTTTTGGTGCGATGGGGTCTCTGATCTGACTCCATTGTTTCTTCTCATTATAATTTTTACTGAGCTGTGGGGGGTGTGGTGGCCGCCAACGGCATAAACAGGAAGATATGGCTGTGACGAGAGGCTATGATTGATGAAGCTTTGTTTGGTTTGTATGGTGGGTTGTGCTGCTTTCCCTGCATATAGGGAGAGGGAAAGATTTATTTGGTAATGGAAGGGTGACAGAATGGGGTTTGTCTTTATCATAATGTAACTGAGTGAGTGTAAGGATGTGGTTACAGGGTGAAACTTTTCAGTGCGTAAAAAATACAGTAAAAAACATCAAATGTTATAATACAATGAATAATGCTAGAGAAGACTAAATTTATAGACAAAATTTGCAACCTAAATGATGTGTCACCAATAAGAATGAACAAGTTTATCAATGCTTAAGTTATAATCTAATCATCGACTTTCATGTCATTTAGTTTATAAAATTTTATCTCCCTAGCATTACCCTAATACAATTAGTTGAATGTTATTTTATTTTTTTATTTAAGTTTTCAACTAATTATATTACGACACTTGGTGTTTAGGATCGTATTCCGGCTCGATACATGGGCTTCTTCTTGCTGTGTATGCTTTACAACTACATGACAATAATACCCTTCGTGGTGTTTTCATACATGCAATAGTCTGCAATACGGATTAATAGTATTCTTATTTATTTATAAGTGAAAGATCTTAAGTTTTTATCTTCATCAATTATTACGATAATCTCATTATGACTTAGCCCAAATCTTTTACCCCTTGAATATATATATCTCGCGGTATTCAAATTAGACGGTGTGATCAAATCCACATAATCCTATTGTAGTTAAACTTAACTTAGCTCGTATATGGATACTCTTGATCTTGTTGATTGAGTAATGCTTGTCATATGACATGTTTATATTCTCTGTGTTGTGGCACGTGCAAACGTCAAGTTAATTGATAATTTATTTTGATAAATTATCTTATTAGAGGTTAGTTAAAATATTAGTGTCACATCGTGTGAGATTATGTGTGATACAAATAGATCACTTTACTACTAGTACTACAATTTAACGGTATTTTTATTCATTTACAAATAAAGTATTTTAAATTCGAATCTCGTACATAATAAATTTGGTAATATATTCTTTCGCTCTATAGTGTGAATATATTAGTGCACAAAAAATTGTGATGCAAAAATGTTGTAAGCTTAATATTACCCTCATAGAATGTCACTTAGATGCTGTGTTGAGTTGTGTGTAGGTAGATGGATAGTTGGGTAGTTGGAGTACTTTGGGTCGTTGGAGTACTTCATAGGTTGTGGGGGATGAGTGAGCATGCATGGGGGCGTTGCTTTTTAAATTTCGCCTTTAGGTGGAGAATCTTGGTACCCAAATGTGAAAGTCAAGGAAAAAAGGGTAATAACAAAGACCATCCAACGGACGAAAAAGTGGGGAAGAAAAGAAAAAGTACCTCATAGTTCACGTTGATTAATAGTATATCTTACTCAAATGGGGGGCATATAAGCACAAAAATTCTTGAGTGTTTCCGAGTATTGTTCACTTAGTATTACGGTATATCAATATTCTTTTTTATTTGTAAATAAAATGTCTTAAATTTGATTCTCATTAAATGTGAATTTGAATTACATTATTGCTAACCTATTATGAGGCTTAACCCATTCTCATGTCCTATTAGTGTAGATAATATCGTTTATTTAAACATTCAAATTATCTGATATTCACTATACATATTTACTATTTAAAAGCTCTATAATAATTCCACAAAGCATTTGACAACTATTTGCAGCGAAGTTATTAGAAAGTGGTGTGATTTGTTGGTTGGTTGTGGTTAGCTTACCGTTAATTTTTTTAACAAACGATATTATATACATTAAGGGGATGGAGTGGGTTAAACATTAGAATGAGCTAGTAATAATATGGTTCAAATCCGTCTTTAGAGAGAATCAAAGCTAAGACCTCTTGTTTATAAGTGAGAAAATAACACTAGATCATAGTACTAAGTGACAATTTACCACTATAATATCAATATGTTCTGAGTTTAAGCTTTTACTTTTTCTTTTTCTTTTATTGTAACTTAATATAGTAAAATCGCTTATAATTAAAAATTTTAGTCGAATATAACATAACAGGTTGGATTATTAGATATGTTATAGAATAGGTGGATTAGATTGAACTTGTACATATCCATAACCATGAACCCTAACACTTGGATTGAACCCTTAACCATGAACCCATAGCAACCTGGCTAGAACTTATACTAGGACATCAAAATTTCCCTAGGTCTAAGGACTCCATATCTTTTCTAATAGTCTCTTTAAAAAAATTTCTAGGTCTTCCTCTACCCTATTTTGCCCTGAGCCTCCATTTCATAATCGCATCGTCTAACTGGAGCATTTGTAGGTCTTCGGTTCACGTGTTCAAACCATATTAACTAATTTTCTCTCACATTATCTTCAATTGTGGTCACTTGTACTTTACCCATGATATCCCCATTCTTAATCTTATCATTTCTCGTGTGCCTACACATGCAACGAAGCATTCTCATCTTCTACACTCATTTTTTGCACGTATTGCTTTTTGACCGCCCAATATTTTTGTGACATATAGTATCGATGACTTTATTGCCGTCCTACAAAATTTTCCTTTGAGCTTTAGTGGCATACGACAATCGCACAATACATTCAGTGCACTCTTCCACTTCATCCATCAAGCTTGTATTCTATGACTAAGATCTCCATCTAATTCTATATTATTTTGCAAAATTACGTTCACTCTTTAGTACTTCCTAATCTCCAATCATAACCTCTATCTCATTTGAATCTCATTCCCGCTAAACTTGCAATCCATATTAATTAATTTAGCAATGGGTAGAGAGATACAGCATTATTTAAACTAGGATTTTAAACTATTATGCAACGATCTTTGTTGTTGTTAATACAATCATTATATACAAGGTCATAATTTTCAATGTGGGATTGACATTTTCAACATAAACACAAAGGAATAGCAAATTTGTTATGGAAAAGTTTTTCTCCTCTAATTATTTATAATAAAATATTCTTTAACTTAAACATACATGATTAATTTGAATAACGTTACGTACCAACCCAATCTCCATGAACGAATATCTTCCAAAGTGATGAGTGTGATGTAAAAAAGGGTTCCTCAAGCATGGTGGAGAGATGATGGGCAAAGTAAAGGTAATAATAAAAATAAGAGAATTTTAACGAAATTTTTTTGGTATTATTCATTTAAACGAAAAATCATATTTTTATACTAAAAAGTCAACTTTATAATATTCATTTTATCCTTTATTTTATTCTTATCGTTAAAACTCAAAGTTTTCAAACTCTTTTAATTAATTTTTCGCAAAAATAGAAGACAAGTGAGTGAGAGACAAGTGTCTTGAAAATATCAAATCACCAATTTCACCGTCCGTGTGGTGTCGCCACTTTCTCCTTTTTATCCCACACTCACTTGCCGTTTTGATTCCCTTCCATCTCAGCCTCGGCAGCTAGATGACAAGGACGCAGTGGCAAATCTTGATATTACATGAAAAAAGGTGGGCCTTTTTTAAAGCGAGATCACATGGGGGGCTCCACACAGGGAACGGTGTGAGAAACAGTGAAGAATCCAAAAGGGAGCACGTGACCGGAATACGATTACTATCATCATCATCATTATCAAGCTTAATTAGCTATCTTAATTATGGTCTATAATTAGGGTGGAAAATTTGTTGACCCACGCGAGAAAGTAGAGCGTGGACAACAATCTGTCGTCTGGAGTGTCTGTGTACTTAAGGATTCGGTTTTACGCGCGTGGGTTTGGAGAGTGGGTGTGAGTATTGCAGAGCCCAGGGTTCAAGTGTATATATTCTCACGCTTCACATAGAGAAGCGCACACAAGCAGCGCGTGAGGAAAAGAAAGGTAAATAAAAGATAAGGGTTATTATCCATTGTGGGAAGGACCACAAAGAATAATGATATACTTCTTTTTAATCATTAAATCAATAAACTCTGTAGAACGTGTGTTGACACAAATAATAAATCACACTATAAATCAGAACTTACACAACTTTATACTTATAATCAGAATTAATATATAAATCACTCTATACTTTTTTTTTTACGGTCAATTTACAGAACTTTATGCTTATAATCAGAATTAATATATAAATCACTCAATAAAAGTATCTCTACAAACAAATCAATTAAAACTAAAGTTGTTTTAGTAAATCAATGGTAAAAAATAGATAAATGTCTTGTAATACTACATTTTTTGCTTAACAAATCATTTATCTATTTGCTACAGTTGATTGACTAAACGAACATCATCATTGTCGCAGTCCCTATTTCCAAGTTGCCTCTACACTCCCAAGATTACTACAACCACTACCACCACCATCTTAGAATTGACTACCCTCACCATCACCCTCACCATCTTTGTCACTGCCACCACCAGCACTCACATTCGTATCTCACAACCATAGATGTAGGTCAGTATTGTTTCTACTAAACCGTTTAATACATAAAACTTTAAACAACATGTTAATTTAGTCATTACACAGAATCACAATACTTTTTGTTTGTACCATACTTGACCAATCCCGAAACTACCGAGCACCGGCCAACGCTATACTGTCAAGGACCCAGAAGAGTTCCCCTCCGACCAGGAGGCCAATCACTACTCGACACGTGTCAAGATTAGAAGCCAATCAGAGCGCAGCACGTGTCGACATCAAGAACCAATCATAACATAACACATGTCAATGTGACAAAGCTACAAGTTTTTCTATAAATAGGGGTCATTCCCCCACAATATTGCCTAATGCCATTTTGTGTTAAATCATTCACAAGAACTCACTAAATTGAGAGCTTGATCCTTTGTACTTGTGTAAGCCCTTCACTACTAATAAGAACTCCTCTACTCCGTGGACGTAGCCAATCTGGGTGAACCACGTACATCCTGTGTTTGCTTCTCTGTCTCTATTCATTTATGTACTTATCCTCACTAGTGACTGAAGCAACCAAGCAACCAAGCGAAGGTCACAAAACCTGACACTTTCTGTTGTACCAAAGTCTTCGCTGATTTTGTGCATCAACATTTGGCGCCGTCTGTGGGAAACGACACTTATTCCTACTCTCTTCAGCTGTGTCAAGCTGGTTTCTATCATTCGTACACTTTCTTTTGACCAGGCATCCCT